ACATATGGGCTAAAATCGGACTTATGGGCTTGGACTGGACTGGGTTGGGATGCTTTCTTAATGTATAATTACCTTTATATAAAACACTCTCTCATACACATATGCATGTTTATGGATTTGTTTCTCTAGGCTCCTCGGACTAACACAATGGGAATAGAAAGTCCAGTTTTTCTCCCTCAGAGCAGCTAGTTGTTTTGAACTGCTGACCTTATGGATTGCAGCCCAGTGCATACCCACTACACCACCAGGACTCCCTGGATCTGGGCTGGGGGCCAAGTATTTGTGTTTCTAACAAACTCCCGTGTGCTGCTGTTGCCGACCAGGGAGCACGCTTTGAAAATGAGTGGCGTGGAGCAGACACTGAGTCCCTATTTTCTGAGTAGAATTGTGCTCCACAGGGTTCTCAACGGCTGATTTTCAGAAGCCAATCACCAGGCCTTTCTTCTGTGGTGCCTCTAGGTGGTTGGTTCAGTAAGCTGCTGAACATGTAACCATTTCACCACCACACACAGTAACCCAAACCGAACCAACTGCTGTTAAGTAATTGCGACTCACAGTGACCCTACAGGCCAGAGTACCACAGCACCATAGAGTTTCTAAGACTGTAATCTTTAAGGAAGATTTCTCTCGGGGAGTAGCGGGTGGGTTTGAACCTCTGGGTTAGCAGGTGAGGGCTTAAACACTGAGCCACCAGGGCTGCTTCACCTACAGTAAAAACCAAACCAAACTCACTGCCACCGAGTCGAGTCTGTCTCACAGTGACCCTACATAAGAGAGTAGAATGCCTGTGGCTTTCCAAGGCTGTAACATTTTCCCCCTTAAACAGATGTATTGGCATATAATACACATATTACACAATTCAATAGTTCAGTCATATTAAGAAGTATAGTATTAAATTTAAAAAATTGGCGCCGAGGGGGGGGGGGCAACCCTCACCGCTAATACTCCTATTACTACTACTCGGATTCAGTAATACTACTTCAGGGTTCGGTAATGCACAATTGTACGGTTGAGATATACAGTATAAGTATTATATTAAAGTCATCAAGAGCATGATAGATAGTACAATAATACAGTCACATTACATGGCAACATTGCTCACCTCAGCCCAGCTTAGTGGTCCACGTGGAGAGGGGGGGAAAGGGAACAAGGGAGAGGGGGAAGAGAGTCGGAGTTCAGAGTCTGAGAGCTTCTAGAAGTCCGAGAGCCTATATTGCTGACTCACGCCTATATACCTTTTGGGGGCATGCCAGCCCACTAATTACAGGTAGAGACATACATCACAGGGAGGGGTTACACTATAGGGTACCCAGTAATGAGAGGGTGGTCTCTGGGTCTCCATAGGAACCATTATCAGTAGGGTGCAAACCCCTCCTACAGGAACCAAGCTAATGGCCTTGGGCTCCAGAGAGAGGTAACCCATTGTGTCTAGCAGCAGGGAGTAGAGCTAGTGCAGCCTGGCAACTGCTCGCCCTCAGGGGGGGAAGTGCCTGCGCACCTGACCTCCCCCCACAAAGAAGAGTTGTACAATCATCACCACAATCAATTTTAGAATATTTTCTTATTACTTGTACTCATTATTATTAGCTCCTCATTTCCCCCCAAATCCCCCTGCCATACCCCCAAGGAACCATTTATTCAATAACTGTCTCTAGGTTTACCTATCCTGGATTTCATATACAGAAAATCACACAAAATAAAAAACAAACAATAACAAAGTAAAACAGAGAAAAACGCCAAACAAAAAGAAAGTAGAAAATAATAAAATATAGAAAAATGTTAAATTGGTCAAAAAGGAGATCAAATGATAAGGTGCTATTTTAACCTAACTGCATCTGCAGTAACCCCTCTTTCAATTCATTCTGCATGTTAACAAAGCTATTCATATCCCCATCTGTCAGAGGGGATTCACCTGAGGGTTAATCCATGTGAACCCTGCAAATGGATTTTAGGCTTCCAATGTCATCCAGAGCCCTCTGCAAACCAGGTGTTCACAATTTAAGGTCTGATACTGTTAGATCTCTCTGGAGCTAGATTTATACCTCGGTCCTTGGCTCC